AAATAGGTATATGTATGTTTTCAGAGTACTGAAAAAGTATGAAGCACAGCAAAGGAAGCCATTAACAAAATGGAAAGGCAACCTAGGTAACGGGAGAAAATATTTGCAAATCATGTATCTGATAAGGGGCTAATATCCAAAATACGTAAAGAACTCATACAACTCAATAGCAAAAAACTAAACAATCTGATTTTGAAAATGGGCAGAAGATCTGAATAGACATTTTTTCAAAGAAGATATACACATGGCCAACAGGTACATGAACAGGTATCCAGCATCATTAATCATCAGGGAAATGCAAATCAAAACCACAGACACCACCTCACACCTGTTAGAATGGCTATTATCAAAATGACTAGAAATAACAAGTGTTGGTGAGGATGTGGAGAAAAGGAAACCCTTGGGCACTATTGATGGTAATGCAAATTGGCGCAGCCAGTATGGAAAACAGTATGGAGGTTCCTCACAAAATTAAAATAGAAATACCGTATGATCCAGCAATTCTCCTTCTGGGTATGAAACCGAGGACAAAGGAGTTAGTTTCCCTGAATTAGGATGAAACTGTGTCTGTGCCTACAAGGTTAACGTGGGAAACAAAGCAAGCAAAGTTTCTGATCTTGCTTTGCAGAACAGCAGGAGGACCCCTGATAAAGAGAGTAGCTTGCTGGCAGCCCTCCACCTGACATTGTTGCCCCATCAGAAGAGGCAATAGTCTGCCTAAGTCCTCCCAAAACTTGCTGAGAACTACAAGGTTTTTTAGGAATGGCAGGCTTCTGTCAAATTTGGATTCCCAATTATGGGCTCATAATAAGGCCCCTATATGAGGCCCTAAAGGGTTTAGGCTCAGAATCTCTGAACCGGACTAAAGAATGCCAGTCAGCACTTGATACTATAAAAACCAAACTGACCTCAGCTCTGGCTTTGGGGCTGCCAAACTTGAGCAAGCCCTGCAGTCTCTATGTACATGAGAGACAAGGTGTAAGTCTGGGAGTATTTCCTCAAAAGTTGGGAACAATCTCTAGACCTGGGCCTATTTGTGTAAACAATTGGATCAAATGGTAAAGGGGTGGCCCCCTTGCCTTTGGGCAGTAGCGGCCACATGTGACATTCTTCAAGAAGCTGAAAAATTTACTCTAGGTCAACCTACTACTGTCTACATGCCCACCACATCCTAACATTATTGGAACAGAAACCGGATACTGGCTCACCTCAGGAAGGATGGGCGAATACCAAGCCACCCTTTTGAACCGTTCAAATGTCAGGTTACAAGTCACCTCAACTCTGAATCTGGCTATCTTGCTCCCCAACAAGGTTTCAAAAGCTTTAGATCATTACTGCTTACAGGTCATAGAAATGGTTTATTCCAGCCAGCCAGATCTAAAAGACCAGCCATTGGAAGAGCCCAAACTGGAACTTTTCACAGACAGTAGTAGCTTCACGGATCAAGGTAAGAAGTGTGCTGGGTATGCAGTTGTGATCTTGCAGAAGATTCTAGAAGGCAGAGTGTTATCCCTAGGGACCTCAGCCCAGAAGGCTGAGATCATTGCCCTCACCAGAGCCTTGCTCTTATAGCAAGGGAAAAAAATGAATGTCTATACAGATTCTCAATATGCATTTTCAGTGGTCCATGCCCACAGAGCTATTTGGAAGAAAGGAGGGTTTCTAGCTGCCAACAAGGAAGAAATTAAACACACTCTAGAGATATTATAATTATTGGAGGCAATCTATGAGCCTTCTTAGGTGGCCATAATGCATTGTCCAGGCCACCAAAAGGGTGAAATCTCATGAATAAAGGGAAATTGACTGGCGGACCAAGCAGCAAAGAAAGCAGCAAAGACAGAGACCCCTGTTATGATAGGCTTTTTGCTCCCCCAGGTAGATTTATCTGAGTATCAGTCAGCACACTCAGAGAAGGACCTAAATCAGGCAAAAGAATGGGATTTCACTTCTGAACATTTGACAGGCTGGAAAAATAATTCCCAGGGAATAATTTTAGTTTCTGAGGCTCTTCTGTATCCAATTTTGAAGCATATACACAAAAGCATCCATTATGGAAGAGATGCTACCATACAGTGGGTCCAAAAGTATATTATGCGACCTAATTTTCAAAAAAAAAAATTACAAAGGACTAAAAATTGCATGACTTCTTCAAAAAAACTACCCCAAGAGAGCTCCAGGACCCACTCACATGGGAATTCAACATAAAGGGGACGGGCCTACGGAAGACTGGCAAATAGACTTTACACAAAAGCCCCAAGTTGTTGGAAACTTCCAGTACTTGTTGGTGTTTGTGAATACCTTCTCTGGGTGGGTAGAGGCCTCTCCCACTTGAAGTGAAAAGGCATCAGAGGTAGTTTGGATTTTATTAAAAGATATTATTCTTAGATTTGGCCTGCCTAACACTCTACAGAGCGACAATGGGCTTGCCTTTGTTTCTCAAGTCACACAATAGATATCTGAGGTACTGGACATCAAACGGAAGTTATATTCAACATGGAGACCCCAACCGACCGCAAAAACAGAGAAGATGAACCACGCTTTAAAAAGAAGCATTGCAAAGATTATGTCAGGAAACACAATTAACCTGGGATAAGGCACTGCCCATTGCCCTGTTATGGATACCAGTAGCCCTCCGAAGTAGGCTTAAGTTAAGCCCCTTTAAATTCTATATGGCAGGCCATTTCAGCCTTCTTCATTTACAGAGGAATCTCTTGAAGTCCTAAAGGACACTACAGTTACAACTTATGGTAAATCTTTGAGTTCCATACTAACTTCTATTCAGGAGTTTACTTCTAGCAGGTCGACCTATCCATCTGACGTGTTCCTGCATACTTTTCACCCTCGCGATTGAGTTCTCCTAAAGACTTGGAGAGAACAGGGACCTGAGAACCAATTGACAGCCAGGTGGACAGGACCTTTTGACGTATTGCAGACCATCCATTCTTCTGTTAAGTTGGCTGGAATGAAGCTATGGATACATCACACCTGAGTAAAATGAGCCCTGCCAGAAGACATGGAAGATCAGCCTAAGACTTCCTTGTGGGAGTGCAAGTCCATAAAGGATTTGAGACATGTATTCCATAAGGTTTCCTGACTTCTGTATGTTACTGGGCCAGGGGTGGGGGAACAATGCCAAAAGCCATGTATGCTCCAACCTTTGGGCTGATACCAAAGGGACTATATGCATATGCCCTATTACTAATAGCCACAGAACTTACTTGTGTTAGTCATAACTTCTTCCTTCCGAAACCCCTTCTCTTTCTAGATGTTGATTGCCAGTCATGGAGAAAACTCACTAAGCTTGATCCCTTGGTGGATGACCAGAATGCCCAATCTAACTCTGTGAGTCTAATATTTTTATATGATGCAAACACCTGGAGCTTAAGAGAGGTCCAGACCTCTGAACCTGTCCTAGACCTACCTATTAATTTAGATTTTACAGGGTGTGTTTATTATATAGGATATGACTTAGGGAAATTTCTCAGGAATTTCTGCCAGGAAATATTTTTGGCAGAGAAATTACGAGTACCAATGCTACCAACAGATACCCACATTATTGTGCTGCCATTGGGTTAATGATGAATCTATAAAAAGGGTGCCCAGCTATGATAACAACTATTTAGTCAAACCCTGCATTTCCTGTCATAGTGCTATGTGCCCCCATTCACCTCAACCATGTTTTTGTGGTTGGGTACCTAAAACTCAATCCTGAAATAAGAAGAACAACTACATCTGGTTGGACTAGAAGGGTGGACCACCACAGACAGTTACCCTCCCACTATTCAGGAAAGGTGATTATGGGAAGCTCTCTGGTCCACCCAAACCACCCTTTATTTGGGAGTTACAACCTCCCACCTAAATCTGGTATGGGAAACCCAGCATTTCTTCATCAACATCTTGTATCCAACCTGCAGTAAAACAATCATGCCCCAACGGGAACAACATATCTGCTGGTTACACCAACGATGGCCCCAAAGAGCAAAAAGAGATATTTTAGGAAGAAATGGGGCTGGACTAGGTATTCTGGGCCAAGCAGAAGCGACCTTGGATGAATATAGTCATAGCCAATAAAAGATTTGTATTTAACAAAATTGGGAAAACTGGGAAGACTATTGTTTCAGAAGGAAGAAAAAGGCTGGGAGGCAGCTTGTAAAACTGATCAGGCCCTAAGTAAATGGATAAGTCAAACCCAGGATGTCATGACAAAATATGCCAAGTCCTAGTTACCGGAAAAAGCATGTGGCTCTACCCAGCAGAGTTTAATTGACACTTCTCAAAATGGAGTCAGAAGTAGCAATGAAACAATCACCAACCATTCTGCAGCAGAAACCCAAGAAACTTACTTATGGGAGATCTATGGAACACCAAACGTGTGGGAAATAATTGAGGGAACTTGTAGTTTACATCACTGTTCCCTAACCACCTTAGCACCCAGGCTAGAACCAAACAGGAAACATGAAGTAGTACAGCTTGTTGGAATAGGTACTAACTATGACAACTATCAGATACTCCCCATAGGGGGTCTCTGGGCCCTTTTTACCTCAAATAGAACCTTACCCCAATGGGAAACAATTTCAGTCCTAGAATGTAAACAACATAATGGAATATGGCTATTCCCAGAAGAACAATGGAACTCTGAAATAGCTTTAACTGGCCTATAATAAAGACCTCTATTCAGAACAATATTTGGTCTATGGGGAAGGGATGATTTTGTTGGGAAGGAACCATGAATCCTACTGTGCAACTGGAAGATCGTTATTGCCACCAGACTGCATTTATAATGAATTCTTACAGTATTTAGTGTAACACAGGAGTCATAGAGAAAATCCATCTACCAGAGGGTAACAAGACCTAAGACAACACTGATGAGGAGGATTACGCCTATTGGGAACTAGAACTAAGACTCCCTACCGAGGTAGGGCTTATGGAAAATGAATGACCTTAACGGAGTTTAGATCTGGCAACCCAGGAAATCCAGGACACTCTCCAGCAAGTTGGGATAATAAAATACCAAGTACAGGTAACTGTTACAGAGGAAGAAAAAGGATTATTCAATTTGTCCAGAATTATGCAGATGCCTGCTTGGGTTTTGTTGGATGGTTTTCTTGTTTACTCCAGTCCACCTCTGGTGATGATAAAGTCATAAAAATCATCTTCTTTAGTATACTTGTAATCATATTTGTCATCCTCTTGACCTGGGGTTGTACCAGATGCTGGAAAAAGAGAACCAGAAAGTCCCACATTATGTTAATGAGCCCTATTACTCATGAATACTTCCAGCTTAAGGTCTGTCAATTCCATCCCTCATGCCCCCACCATGACCTCATTCAGCATGAAGTAGTGACATAGAGATGACCCACATATTCCTCAAGATTGAGAAATAAGCAACTGACAGTGGGGATTGAAACTGAGAACGAAGGAGTTAAAGTTGCCCTGGATTAGGATGAAACAGTGCCTGTGCCCCCAAAGTTAAGCTGGGAAACAAAGTAACCAAAGTTTCTGAGCTTGCTTTGCAGAACAGCAGGAGGACCACTGATAAGAGAGTAGCCTTCTGACAGCTCCCTGCCTGACAAAGCATCTTGTAGGAGCATTTAGCAGTCGATCCTGCACAGAGGACTCTTTAAACTTCAGCCCCCAAAGCCACATGCTCCCCCTCCCCATCTTATTCTCACAAGGTGCTTTGGAAAAACACTAAGAACTGCACATAGGCAAGCAACTCTGTGACTGGTAGAAAGAATAACTTGTTAGCAGAAAATTTTTGTCCTTTACCCAAACTGTTCTCTTAGTTCCAGATAAAGAAATAACTGAGGTTTTCTTAGATTCCTCAGGAATGCTGCATTCAGCAGATCTGCTAAGGAGAGGTGCCCAACGTTCTGCAATCACCCATCATCTGACATTTCTGAGCCCCTTCCTCAATCACATTTGCCTTATATAAGTCATTTCCAATCAATTCCCTTTTAAGATGGTTTTTTTAGGACGATAGTTCACCATCTTCCAATCTGTTAGCTTATCACTTATTAAAGTTCTTTCTCTACCACTGCCTGCTTGCCTTTTATCTTGTGGCAAGCAGACCAAGCCCTTGCTCGGAATCAGGTATTTATCTGAAGAAATTGAAAACATTAACTTGAAAAGATATCTGCACCCCATATTCACTGCAGCATTATTTACAACAGGCAAGACATGGAAACAACCTAAGTGTCCGTTGATAGATGAAAAGATAAAGAAAATATGGTATATATACAATGGAATTCTATTGCACCATAAAAAAGAAAATCCTGCCACTTTGAACAATGCGGGTGGACATTGAGGGCATTATGTTAAATGAAATAAGTCAAAGACAAATCCAATATGATCTCACTTATATGTGGAATGTAAAAAAAAATTTAAGAATTAGAAAAACCTGAGTTCTTATCAAGATGGCAGCATAGGCAGACTCTGAACTCATCTCCTCCCATGAACACAACCAAGTTACAACTATTCTTGGAAAAATTACCCTGGAGAGAAAAATGAAAACTGGATGAAAAGAACCCACACAACAAGGGACAGTCCTGACTGAGGCAGAAATTTCTTCTGGAGAGAAAGAAAGACACCTTCATGAGCTGCAGAAATTCACAGTCAGCTGGGTAGGAGCCACCCTAAGGTACACAGCCTTCCACAGAGAAGTGGGGACCTGAGCAGGGGAGCATTAGTGCTTTAAGCATCCTTCAGACTCAGCACAACAGAGACGAGTGTCCTATTATCTGGCTTCGCTGGCTATTAACAACAATGGGAGAATACCCCCAGCAAAGCTATCAGACAAATGCTGAAAAAACCTGGCTCTTAAAGGGCCCATGCACAAATTCACCCATCTCAGAGAGCAACCTAAAATCACCAAAAAGAAAGCTGCACAGTCCTTTGGTGAAAAGAGACTCACCTGGTAGGCTCTGGGTGCATCTTGGTGAGAGGTGAGAACTCTCCAGAGACTGAGACATTGGTGGCAGCCATTGTTGTGACCTAGTACAGGCATGCTGACACTTTTGCTGGCAGAGAACATTGAAGCTCTTCCCCTGGCCTGTTATTCCAGGGGTCTGCCACCCTCTAAAGCACAGATTTAATCCAATTCAGCTAGGGCAGGCAGCCCACCCTAGGGACTGGCCCCACCCAAAAGTAAGCCCTCAAGCTACTTGTCAGCCTGTGTAGACTGGATACCTTGATCCTCTATAGGCAGCCAAGTGTATCTGCCTCTGTGGGGCATGGCCTGTGTGAGAACCAGGTGAACTGTGGGGGAGTGTGGAGAGGTGGGAACATCTGCAGTGGGGTGACTGCGTATGCTCCAGGGGGTTGGGAAGTGTGCATGGACCAGGGCTGTGTTGATGGTGTATGTGGACCTGTGGGAGGTGGAGCTTATCAGTGTCAGAAGACCGTGCTTCACAAACAGCCACAAAGAGAATTGGCCTCACCTTCCAAAGCCTGAAACAATTGGGTGCTCCTGTGCCTAGGGCCAGCCCCACTCAGCTGCAATCCTATGAGAGCTGACAACAGCCCTGCAGGCCTGAGGCCTACAGCAACTGTAAGCCCCTGATCCTAGCAACCAGCTACACTGGGTACCTACTCAATTAACAGGAAAACTGCAACAGCAGTGTGCTGTTAGACCTTGTAGCCAATGGTGCTGGGGCTCTCCAAACCTGATTTACAAAAAGCCAGCGAGGGAAAGACCAGACTCCCTGGGTACCTGTAGTAAAAGCAACCCTACCACAGCAGAAGGACACAAGTAGCCTACACAGGGGTCACTCCTGGATCATTTGGACTGGTGACGAGAGGGAGGCACATTGCTGGGCCTCAGAAGGCATCTCTTACATAGAGCCACTTCTTCTCCAAGATCAGGAGACATAGCTGACTCACCTAATACGTAGATATAAGCACAGAGAAAGAGGCATAATGAGGAGGCAAAGGGAATACATTCTAAACAAGGGAACAGGTCAAAACCCAAGAAAAATAACTAAATGAAACAGAAATAAGCAATCTTCCTGACAAAGAGTTCAAACAAAAACTCATAAGGATGCTCACTGATATTGGGAGAAGACTGGATGAACACAGTGAGAATGTCAACAAAGAATTGGAAAATATATAAAAGAACCAATAAGAAATGAAGAATACAATACTGGAAATGAAAAATTCACTAGAGGGACTCAACAGCAGAGTAGATGATACAGAAGAATGTATCAGTGAGCTGGAAAAAAGAGTAGAGGAAATCACTCAAGCTGAACAGAAAAAAGAGAAAGAATTAGAAAGAATGAAAACAGTCTAAGGGACCTCTGGGACAATATCCACCGCATTAACATTCATATTATGGGTGTCACAGAAGGAGAAGAGAGAGACAAAGGGGCTGATAATCTATTTGAAGAAATAATATCTGAAAACTCTCCTAACCTAAAGAAGGAAAACTATATCCACATATAGGAAGCACAAAGAGCACCAAACAAGATAAACCCAAAGAGGCCCACACGAAGACACATTATGATTTAAATGTCCAAAATTAAAGATAAAGAGAGAATCCTAAAAGCGGCAAGAGAAAGTCAACAAGTGACATGAAAAGGAAAACCCATAAGGCTATCAGCGGACTTCTCAGCTGAAACCCTACAGGCTAGAAGAGAGTGGCATGACATATTTAAAGTGCTGAAAGGAAAAAACCTACAGCCAAGAATGCTCTATCCAGCAAAGTTATCATTCAGAATGGAAGGAGAAACAGCTTCCCAGATGAGCAAAAAATAAAAAAGTTTATCACCAAGAAGCCAGTTCCACAAGAAATGCTGAAGGGGCTCATTTAAGTGGGAAAGAGAAGACCACGAATAGGGAGAAGAAAATTATCAAAAGCCACCCGAAAAAAACAGGCAATAAAGTCACCATAAAGGCAAAAATATAGTAAAGGTGGCAGATCAACGACCTATGAAGATAATATGAAGGTTAAAAGACAAAAGTACTAAAATTACCTATTTCAATGATAAGAGGGTAATGGATAGACACGCAAAGCAAGAAGTTAGATATGATTTCAAAAACATAAAATGTGGGAGGAGGGGAGTAAAAGAGCATAGCTTTTAGAAAGAGGTCAAGCTAAGAGACTATCAACTCAATATAGATTGCTATATATGTAGAATATTATATAGGAACCTTATGGTAATCACAAACCAGAAACCTATAATAAATAAACAAATAAGTAAGAGGAAAGAAATCAAATATATTACTAAAGAAAGCCATCAACCACAAGGGAAGAGAGCAAGAGAAGAAAGGAACAGAAAAGAACTACTAAAACAGCCAGAAAAAAAGTAATAAAATGGCAATAAATACACAGCTACTTTAAATGTCAGTGGAATAAATGCTCCAACCAAAAGGCATAGGGTGACTGATTGGATGAAAAAACAAGACCCATAAATATGCTCCAGACAAGAGATACACTTCAGACCTGAAGACACTCACAAACTGAAAGTGAAGGGATGGAAAAAGACACTCCATACAAATGGAAAAGAAAAGAAAGTGGGGGATAGCAATACTTATATCAGACAAAATAGACTTTAAAACAAGAACTATTAACAAGAGACAAAGATGGGGACTACATAGTGATAAAAGAAACAACCCAACAAGAGGATATAACACTTGTAAATATCTATGCACCCAACATAGGAGCACCTAAATATATAAAGCAATTATTAACAGACATAAAAGGAGAGATAGTAACACAATAATAGTAGGAGACTTTAACACTCCACTTACACCAATGGATAGATCATCCAAACAGAAGATCAATAGGGAAACATTGGCCTTAAATGACACAGTAGACTAGAAGTGCTTAGTAGATAGGTATAGAACATTCCATCCAAAAACCGCAGAATACACATTCTTTTCAAATTTACATGGCACATTCTCCAGGATTGATCATATATTAGGCCACAAAACAAGTATCAATAAATTTAAGAAGAGGGAAATAATACAATGCATCTTTTCTGACCAGAAAGATATGAAACTAGAAATCAACTACAGGAAGAAACCAGAAAAAACACGAAAATGAGGAGATTAAAAAAGATGCTACTGAACAACGATTGGGTCAATGAAGAAATCAAAGGAGAAATCAAAAAATTCCTGGAGACAAATGAAAATTAAAATATGACATGCCAAAATCTATGGGATACAGAAAAAGTGGTTCTAAGAGGGAAGTTTATAGCAATTCAGGCCTACCTCAACAAACAAGAAAATTCCCAAATAAACAAGCTAACAGTGCACCTACAGGAACTGGAAACAGCAGAACAAACAAAGCCCAAAATCAGCAGAAGGAAGGAAATAATAAAAATCAGAGCAGAAATAAACGAAATAGAGACTTAAAAAAATAGAAAAAATTAATGAAATCAAGAGCTGGTTCTTTGAAAAGATCAAATTGACAAACCCTTAGCTAGACTCACCAAGAAAAAAAGAGAGAAGCTGCAAATAAATAAAATCAGAAATGAAAGAGGAGAAATTACAATGGACACCTCAGAAATACAAAAGATTATAAGAGAATACTATGAAAAGCTATACACCAAGAAATTGGATAATCTAGAAGAAATGGATAAATTCTTAGAAACATACAACCTTCCAAAACTGTATCAAGAAGTAGAGAATTTGAATAGATGAATCACCAGCAAGGAGATCAAAACAGTAATCGAAAACCTCCCAAAAAATTAAAGTCCAGGACCAGACAGCTTCCCTGGTGAATTCTACCAAACATTCAAAGAAGACTTAGTACCTATCCTTCTCAAACTGTTCCAAAAAATTGAAGAGGAAGGGAAGCTTCCTTACTCATTCTATGAGGCCAACATTACCCTGATACTACAACCAGACCAAGACAACACAAAAAAAGAAAATTACAGGCCAATATCATTGATGAACATCAATGCAAAAATCATCAACAAAATACTAGCAAATCGAATACAACAATACATTAAAAAGATCATACATCATGATCAAGCAGGTTTTTTTTTTTTTTAAAGAATGGCACCTGGGCTAACAACTGATGCCAATCTTTTTTTTTTTTTTCTGCTTTATCTCCCCAAACCCCCCTGCACGCAGTTGTATATCTTAGTTGCAGGTCCTTCTAGTTGTGGGATGTGGGTCCCCACCTCAACGTGGCCTGACGAGCCGTGCCATGTCCATGCCCAGGATCCAAACCCTGGGCCGCCACAGCAGAGTGCGCGAACTTAACCACTCAGCCACGGAGCCGGCCCAGATCAAGTGGGTTTTAATTCAGGGATGCAGGGATTGTTCAATATCTGCAAATCAATGAATTTGATACACCACATTAACAAAATGAAGAATAAGAATCACAGGATCATCTCAATAGATGCAGAGAAAACATTTGACAAGATATGGCATCCATTTATGATAAAAACTCTAAATAAAATGGATGTAGAAGGAAAATACATCAACATAATAAAGGTCATATATGACAAACCCACAGCTAATATCGTTCTCAATGGAGAAAAACTGAAACCCTATCCCTCTAAGAGCAGGAGTCAGACAAGGATGCCCACTGTCACCACTCTTATTTAACATAGTCTTGGAAGTCCTAGCCACAGCAATCAGGCAAGAAAAAGAAAGAAAAGTGATCCAAATTGGAAAAGAAGAAATGAACCTGTCACTATTTGCAGACTACATGATTTTATATATAGAAAACCCTAAAGAATCCACTAAAACACTTTTAGAAATAATAAATGAGTAAGTCGAGTCACAGGATACAAAATCAACAACCAAAATCAGTTGTGTTTCTATTCACTAACAACGAAGTAGCAGAAAGAGACATTAAGAATACAATCCCATTTACAATTACAACAGAAGGATAAAATACCTAGGAATAAACTTAACCAAAGATATGAAAGATCTGTACACTGAAAACTATAAAACATTGTTGAAAGAAATTGAAGAAGACACAAAGAAATGGAAAGACATTCTGTGCTCTTGCATTGGAGGAATTAACATAGTTAAAATGTCCATACTTCCTAAAGCAATCTATAGATTCAATGCAATCCCTATTAAAGTTCCAATAATTTTCACAGAAATAGAACAAAGAATGCTAAAATTTATATGAAACAACAAAAGGCCCAGAAAGCCAAAGGAATCCTGAAGAAAAAGAACAAAGCTGGAGGTATCACACTCCCCTATTTCAAAATAAACTACAAAGCAATAGTAACCAAAACAGCATGGTACTGGCACAAAAACAGACACACAGATCAATGGAACAGAATCGAGAGCCAAGAAATAAACCCACACATATATGGACAGCTAATTTTCAACAAGGGAGCCAACAGCATACAATGGAGAAAGGAAAGTCTGTTCAGTAAACGGTGCTGGGAAAACTGGACAGCCACAAGCAAGGAATGAAAGTAGATCATTACCTTACACCATGCACAAAAATCAACTCAAAATGGATTAAAGACTTGAATGTAAGACCTGAAACCAGGAAACTTCTAGAAGAAAACATAGGCAGTATGCTCTTCGACATCGGTCTTAGCAGCATATTCTCAAGTACTATGTCTGACAGGGCAAGGGAAACAAAAGAAAAAATAAAGAAACAGGACTACATTAAACTCAAAACTTCTTAACAGCAAAAGAAACCATCAACAAAATGAAAAGACAACCTAACAATTGGGAGAAGATATTTGCAAACCACATATCACATAAGGGGTTAATATCCAAAATATATGAATAACTCATATGTTTCAACAACAAAAAAGCCAAAACCACAATTAAAAAATGGGCAAAAGATCTGAACAGAGATTTTTCTAAAGAAGATATACGGATGGCCAACAGGCACATGAAACGATGTTCAGCATCATTACCTATCAGGGAAACACGAATCAAAACTACAATGAGGTATCACCTCACTCCCATCAGAATGGCTATAATTAACAAGACAGGAAACAACAAATGGTGGAAAGGATGTGGAGAGAAAGGAACCCTTGTACACTGCTGGTAGGAGTGCAAACTGGTGCAGCCACTATGGAAAACAGTATGGAGTTTCCTCAGAAAATTAAGTATAGATCTACCATATGATCCAGCTATCCCGCTGCTGAGTATTTATCCAAAGAATTTGAAAACACAAATGCATAAAGATACATGCAACCCTATGTTCATTGCAGCATTATTCACAACAGCCAAGACTTGGAAACAGCATAGGTGCCCATCCTGGGACGAATGGATAAAGAAGATGTGGTATACATACACAATGGAACACTACTCAGCCATAAAAAATGATGAAATCCAGTCATTTGTGACAACATGGATGGACCTTGAGGGTATTATGCTAAGTGAGATAAGTCAGAGGGAGAAAGTCAAATATCACATGAGCTCATTCATAAATAGAAGATAAAAACAATGACAAACAAACACACAGCAACAGAGATTAGGTTGGTGGTTACCAGAGGGAAAGGGGGGAGGAAGAAGGGCGAAAGGGGTGATTAGGCACATGTGTGTGGTGACAGATTGTAATTAGTCTCTGGGTAGTGAACATGATGTAATATACACAGAATTTGAAATATATTACTATATACACCTGAAAGTTATATAATGCTATAATCCAATGTTACCGCAATAAAAAACACACACACACACAAAATAAATAAAAACAAATAAACTCACAAAAAACCTGAACTCACAGCTAAAGAGAACAGATGGTTTTCAGAGGTAGGGGATGAAAGGTGGGCAAAATGGGTGAAGGAGATCAAAAGGCACAAATTTCCAGTTACAAAATAAATAAATCATGGGGATGTAATGTACAGCATGGTGACTACAGTTAATAATAGTGTATTTCATACCTGAAATTTGCTAAGAGTGTAGATCCTAAAAGTTGTCATTACAAGAAAAAAACGTGTTACTATGTATGGTGATGGATATTAACTAGACTTACTGTTCATAATATATATAAATATCTAATCATTATATTGTACACTTGGAACTAATATAATGTTATATATCGTTTATACCTCAATAAAAAAAGAAAAAGTATGGAAAACTGGACCATTAATGTTAGCCACCCCTGTGTACCAGAATTGGAAAGGGTTGTAGGAGATAGTTATTTTACATCTATATGTTGTTTAAATTGATAAAACTAGCTGCACTGATGTATTTTTATCCAGTTTTTAAAAAGACACTAAAATAACTGAAAGTAAAATCATGAAATAATGACAATTGGTTATCTTTCAAAAGGCATTGGAATAATTTCTGATTTACTTTAACTGTAAAGTAGATTTAATTGTAAAGTAGATTTACAATCTACTTTATGTCTCTCTATATTTCCAAAAGAACCAAGAGACCATAAAAAAGAAAACAGCAACTCCCCTGACCTAGACCACTATGCTTCTCTGACTACACCGCAATCTATGCTCTTCCCTCCAGTTAGACAAATCTATTCAACATTCCCACTTGTGAGACCTGTGCTTTTACAACTAATGATATATTTTCTCTCTCCTTATTGGTCCAGCTTTCCTCCAAAATGTATCCATAGTATAATAACAAATTTTGTGTGGATAAAAGGAATTCTAACGTACTTAAGTTTGAGAAATGCTTTTAAAAATATATTTTGAACACTATGTCAATCACTTTACAAATAAGCTTACATTTTAATATTTTTTATCAGCTAAACTGTATTGCAACACAGTGGATGTTGTCTGCTGCATTTTCAAGTGCATTTGACCTCAAGGACCCTCCTGTGCACCAGCACATCACACTATGCACAGTGTGAACCCTGTACCTACCTTCAGGAGCAACTGTTGGCCAACTTTGTCTTGCTCATGTCTATGATGTGCTGCTGTAGAATTTTAGTCATGGCTTCTCATCAACCGTGAGTTCAAGGGCTGAGGGTCAGAGCTCAGCCTTCTGAATTGCAACATCCTGAATCTTTCTGACTTGTCCCTCCTGTATAAAAGTATTTTTCTCTTGGTCACTGCTGAAGGCATAATAATGGTCTGTGTGGGAAAGATGACGAGGATCAAGTTGTCAGCTATGATGATAGACGCCTGACAAACTAACCCTACAAAAGGAGCCTCGCAGTCAAAGACCTGGAAACAGCTCTTCGGAAACGTTCTGCATTAGGCACAGTCTGGTTGCAACTTAGTTTCATTTTTGACCATGATTTAGTATGAATTCCAAAATTTCTTGAATGGGTCCTAGGAAGAACAATAAAAATGATTAAAATTGGATATCTTATCAGGATCAAAATAGGATGCGTGATGAAATGTTCAATGATTTTGGTTATTTTAGCCTTTAAGTGACAAAGCAAAGAAGCGACTGTCCCTCACTATATATGATATTAGGGGATTTTTATGAAAATGATACTAATTAGTCTCTTACATCCTCAGAGGATCAAGTAAGTTGAAACAGACTTGAAGATTGTACTAGGATATTAGAACATATTGGTTATCATGTTGATAAACTCTATTTTAATAAATCAAAGCATTTATAGACTCTGATTCTGATATTTAAGAGAAAAGAAATGATGCATGAATTTTTTCGACAGTGAAGCATTTATTTGTATTTGTTTGGGGCTGGAGCAGGTAAGTGCCCAAGCTCTTTTCTCAGTTGATGCTTCCAGTGTCATGTTTATGTTCATTTCCAGCAAATTTCCTTTAAAATGCAGTTCTATGGAGAAACTCCACCCAGACTACTTCACCTGGGGCTAGTGACTCCAGTCTCATGACTCATTTCTCACATGTGTTTCCACCTGTGCAGTTGATTATGAAATTGTATGTGAATTTTGTTTGATTGTGTCTTGTATGATCATGATGATGTTTGTCCTTTTCTGAGGACATAGAATATAGGCCATGAGTTTTCACATGTTTAATGCAGAAAATGATAAAATGATGTTGTTGCTACATTCTCTCTACCCTTTTTCAAAATGGGCAATGTGAGTCATAAAGGGACCGAATCTAATTCCTAATTCTATTTAGCTTAAAAAAACATTGTGAGCAAGTGCATGCTTCTCTGGAGCTCCTAGGGGTTCGTATGACTTCTCTCAACCACAGACGTCTATGGATCACCTACTGTGCCCCGCCAGCGCCAAGTGCCAACTGTCCCCTCACATAGCACATAACACCAGATATTGAAAATAATACTTGGACTCTTCAAAGAAAGCTCTTTTAGGTTATTGCTTTAATGGAAAAGAAGTGCAATTTACTGAACAAATCTGAGCTACGAGCATCTCCCTAATGGATTAGAGAAGGTGAGCTGTAGCCAGTAACTTTGGCCCCTTAGCCTTGTTGATAAGTGGACAGCCCCTCAAAGACACCATCTTACCATCTTCTGCAGTCACAGCTGCATTGACATCTTGCCCAAGAAACCCTGATGCACCAGATGTTGCCTTAGCAACACATTCCTGATGCTGTGTTGATTGCTCCTGCCTGTTTTCATATGTGCTCTGTGTAAAGGCATTCATTATATACCAGTGGCATAAACATTCAGAGAGAATCCAATGAGTGGGTAAGAGAAGATTTCCTTGCAAATAGTTTCCAAGGGAAAATTTTTTTAAAGGGGAGAGATTCTTTCCAATGTTTGGCATGTTTTGGGGGTTGGATTGTTCTCCATTTTCTTCATTACTATTTTGAAAACTCAAATGTCATGAAGACTCACTGGCATTCCATTTTCCCTAATTGTGCAGCCTAAAGAGGGCTTTATTCTTATTTTTTCTTTTATGTATCAGTGAGTCATGAGTTGCTATATTTATTTCTTCAATATGTGACTCCACTCTCCTCAGTATCACTCACTCATTATTCTGAGAAGGTTGGTAGTCAGAGTTCCCAATTCCATTCCATGAACAGCTGATCCCACAGCTAAGTGCCCCGTCCCAGATGTGAATCCCAATGCGAGGGCTTTGCTTCAGAGCTTCCTGACAAGGCTTGGTTGTGTCTATGTGGTAATATTGTGCTGGCTTGGGGATAAGAGTGATTTGTAATATTAACAATTTTAGTCGACACTACTGTTCTTTAATGCTCAGGCTTATGCTGAGTGTGTGAATGATAGTCTATCAATAATCCAACAAAGGAAAGAAAAGCACTGAGCAGCCCTTTAGCTTGTAGCTGAGGCAGGACTTGGACCAAGGCCAGCTTGCTCAGAGGTTGAAGAAACCTAACATCCTGTCTCTACTTCCTCTAGAAGAAGCATATCACATTCTCATATTTCTTTTACATGTGGTTATACATTCTTACTTATTTCCAGTGTTGTATGTTTTTCATTTGATTAATTTTACCCTTATTATTACCTTTCCTACTATTTCATTTTATTTAGTTACTGGATTTTCATTTTGTCTTTCTCTAGGTTTTATTTTATAGCATAGTCTCTTTCTATACTTTATAGGTGAATTATCATGAAATTACTGGAGATTTTTTGTTAGAATTTTATAATATAACTAGTAACTAAGGCATATAACAATAATTTCTGAGTAAATATGATGCCCATTTTTCTCACACTTTATTCACCCTTTTTTTTCTTAATTATAAATGTCAGTTACTTTCTATATTATGGTTCTAGGGTGTGTGTGTGTGTAGAGAGAGAGAGAGAGAAAGTGGGACAGAGACAGACAGACAGACACAGAGAGAGAGATTTATTTTAAAGAATTAGCTCATGTAATTGTGGGAGCTGGCAAGTTTGAATTCTGTAGGCTGATGGCAGACTGGTGACCCAGGGAGGAGCTGCATGTTGCAGCTTGAGTCTGAACACTGTCTGGAGGCAGAATTCCCTCTTCCTTGGGGGACCTAAGTCTTTTCTCTTAAGGCCTTCAACTGATTAGATGAGGCCCATCCACCTTATGGAGGGTAACATGCTTTATTCAAAGTTTACTGATTTAAATGTTAATCACATATAAAAAATACCTTCATAGCAACATCCAGACAGATATTTGACCAAATATCTGGGTATTCTGGCCTAGCCGCATTGTCAAATATAGTTAACCATCACAGTACAACCCTTGTCAATTTAGCACCCATACACATCTCCTTAAGTCATACTTTACCTCCAAATAAAGAAAATAACAAGGTTAAGTAACATGATACAACTCAAAAGATACTAACACATTCCCTAGAAGAGCTGGGAGATGTTCAGTCTTCTTGACAGCCTATAACTTAAGTATTGTGATACAAACAGAATATGTCTTACATTATATGATAAGAGAATGAGAGGGAAGAAGACAAAGATACATACACACACAAATATTCATAATAAAATAAGGAAGAAATACTTATAACAATTACAGTCCTTATTTCTGTAACTGGTCATAAGGTCATAGCAGATGTTTATAACTACCTCTTCTACTACTCATTCTGTATTTCATCTGCTCTCAGCAAGCACCTCAGCTGGTCATGGTTCTTTATCTGGTGGAGTGACCCAATCCTTCATTCCTGAATGGTCTGGGATATTAGTAGTCCTGCTTGGATTGGGTTTTGAAGTTTTTCATTGATTATAATCTTAGGGCACGATGATACTAAGAGACGCCTAAGGGATCGCCCATATTCCAGACATACTCTTCCTAACCTCCATTGCGGAGTAGCAGTCCAATTTTTCCTTGTCATCAGGATTATTAAATACTTAACTCTCTTCTTTGCATGTTCATTCAGAGGCATGAGGAGCCTAAGGTGGCCAGTGGCAGTCTTAACTTCAAGTGCAATGGAATTATTGTTGTGTCTCCTGGTGGTAACATTCCTCCCTTTGGAATAAGACCTCTAGATCAGGAGAGCATAACGCCACAGGAACAGGAAGCAAAAATCTGCTAGTGGGTCACTAGGGGTAGTACTGGTGCCATTCCCATTTCCACCCCTTGATTCCTAGACACATGAATCCTGATTAAGGGAGAAACAGCATCATATATTGGATAATTTATTGATTTAGAACATACATAGCCTCCTGAAGAATCTTAGCCTGGGAAAAGCCTTCCCTTCAAGGTATTGCCACCTAGGCAGCACTACAACTGAGTCTTCAAAATGCCATTTCACTGTTCTAGCATGTCAGCTGCTCCAGGATGGTGGGGAACATTGTAAGATCATGAATTCCATGACCATGGGTCCATTGTCGTACTTCATCTGCAATGAAATGCATTCTTTGATCAGGAGTAATGCTGTGTGGAATACTATGCCAGTGGATAAGCTATTCTGTAAGTCCACGGATAGTAGTTTTGACAGAAGCATTGTGTGCAGGGAAGGCAAATTGATATCAGAGCAAGTGTCAATTCCAGGAAGGATAAATCTCTTCCCCTTCCATGATGGAAGTAGTCCAATGTAATCAATCTGCCACCAGGTAGCTGGCTGACCACCCTGGGAAATGATGCCATATTGGAGACTCAGTGTTGGACTCTGCTGCTGGCAGACTTGGCACTAAATGGTAGCCATAGCCTGGTCAGCCTTGGTGAGTGGAAATCCCATGTTGCTGAGCCCATGCATAGCCTCCAACCCTGCCACCATGGCTACTGTGTTGATGAGCCCATTGGGTGAGGACAGAGGTGTCTGGGGAAAGAAGAAATAGTATCCATAGAATATGCCATCCTATCCACTTGATTATTAAAATTCTCCTCTGCTGAAGTCACACTTTGTTGAGCATTCATATGGGACACAAATATCTCGACACTTTTCTCCTCTTCAGAGAAGTCCGTCCATATATCTCTTCCCCAATTTTTCTTGTCACCAATTTTCCAATCATGTTTCTTTCAAGTCCCTGACTATCCAGCCAAACCATTGGCCGCAGCCCATGAATTGGTATAAATTTGCATGTCTGGCCACTTCTCCTTTCAAGCAAAATGAACAAACAGGTGTGCTGCTTGAAGTTTTGCCCACTGGGAGCATTTCCCTTCAGGAATGTCGCAGACAGTGGCTGTAGTGCTCTGGCTGTGCACCTTCAGAGGATGCCTGTATATCGTTCAGAACCATCTGCAATTCAGGCACAAGTTTTCTCTTCCTCTGTCAATTGATAATAGGCAACTCTCCCTGAAGAAGCCACAGGTGCAGCCTGGGAGCGAGAAGGCAGTGTAGCAGGAGTGGACACCGTGCACATTTGGGCCACTTCTTTATGTAACTTACCTGTGTCTTCGGGGACTGCCGGGGCCCAATCACATTTACACCACTTCCATTTGATGATAGAATGCTGCTGTGCATGCCCTACTTTAGGGCTTGGTATGCCAGATAACACC